AATTAGGTGTCAACGATAGCCATGTGATGTGAGTATCAGTCACATGGAGGCAGGGCTTAAAAGCCTGAATTTAGCCTGAAACTCTCAGACTGAAAAAGTCTCTTGGAGGAGAGACGAAACATTTCATTAGAGAAGAACCCGTCCAGAAGACCTATACAATTTTTTTCTTTAAGGAATACTTTATATTCTCACACTTAATCCACAACTCATCAAAAACTGGTTGCTAACTCARCCAGTTTGGTTACAGTTTAATGGATTATAAAAAGCCAAGCAGGTTTTAATATTCTTATATCTCCTTATTCCTATTAGGTCAAAATAAATCAGAAAAAAGTGCTTCGGTTTGATACAAGTTTTGGTTTTTAGCTTATCGTTACATAAAGCTGACGTTAGGGAAATAAAAAAAAAAGTAGATAATCTCTCTTTCAAACTAAAGCCTATTATAAATACTTGTTGTCTTTGGTTTGCAGACATTTGTCAACGATGTGAGAATACAGGAGCAGACGTACGTCACRCTGAGAACCGAGGACAAGCTGAGGTTTGGATATGATATCCTTCGAGTTTGTTCTCGTGTCATCTGTCAAAACCAACTGCCGCCYGCAGGATGTGCCCGGGCAACACTGTAACTTAATCTGCTCTTGAATAGATGGGAATGCTCATTGTTCTCTGACTGCTGCATAATAGATGAGGCTATTAATGCTTCTCATTCCTGCAAAGCGCTCCTCTTGCACCTTAACCCGCCTCACATACCAACCTGTTCACCGTGGTTCGAGGAGAGCTGCATATACCCGAGGAGGCCCTCAAGGTTAGACAACATGCTGCGTTGAGGGGGGGATCGAAAAAGTAGCTAAAGTTTGCAGATTGAAGGGATCTTTCTGCTTAAAATTGTGCAGCCTTGTATTTTTTTTTTACTTTGTAGTAAAAAATATCAGAGTTCTGCTGAAGTGGGTGAAAGCTTCAGAAWTTTAAAACATGCTGTTTCATCAGGCCAAGCTAGCTGCAGAGAAGAGGATTTCAGCTTAATAAGCTAACAAAATGTGTCTTCGGAAACATGTAAAAGTTTGGCTCAGCAAAAGATAAAAAAAAATCAAATAAAATCTTTTTATTGGTTTGAAACAACTGTTTTGCTTTTTTTCCCTGTCTGAACGCATCTTTCTTCAACTGTCAGCATGAGAAACTGAGCAGTCAGCTGCAGATGATCCAGAGGAAACCTGCAGAGTCCGAATCCTCCAAACCTGAGGCGAAACCTTTTGAGACAGCCGCAACGCAAACGTGCGACGGGGCCACCGCCAAACCCTCAGAGCCCGGCAGGTCGGAGGAGAAAACAACAGGTGAGCCTCAGGTCAACGTTTCTTTTTATCAATTTCATTTATTTTGTTTTATTTCTGGACTCCACGCTACAATTCTTACAGTGTTCATGTGTGCAAATGCTTCAAACTCAACTCCATCAGGGAGCTCTAAGGGGTTTCATATGATTAACTGAAGACCTGTTTTTGGCAGGAGACACGGCGGTATTGAAAAGAGGCACACCCCTTTATGGGCAGCCTGCTTGGTGGGGCGATGGAGATGCTGATGAGCAGCATCCGGGAAGACCTGAAGAAAAGAACTTAGAGCGAAGAAGAGAAAAGTTTGAGACAGGTGAAATATTACAGGACAGATGTTTTAATTTTGCATTTAAAGTGTTTAATAGTTAAATTCATAAAGATAATATTTATAATCAGTGCACTTCCTACAGACAACAAGAAAAGTGCAGACATCACAAAGTCTGGCCCTCAGACAGCCTCAAACCAAGAGCCGAGTCACGTCAAAATACCAACTAAAGACCCTCCAACAGGTAAAGTGAGTGAAACCCCCTCACAAGATCAAGAGTCTGGTGTTTCCGCTGCAGAACCCGTCCACGGACACGCCTCCTTCACCATCCAGTTTGACTCTGGAGCATCAGGTAAAGTGACTGTCAAAGATCGAGTGGCAAAGGTCGGACCAGAGACCAGGCCACATCCTAAAAGGGCCGTCGGAGAGGAGCTGAGCCCACTTCAGACGGCCATGGTGGCGGCGGAGGTAAAAGTTGCTGACTGGCTGGCTCAAAACGAGCTGCCGCTTACTCTTAAAGAGACGGCTGCGGAGGATGATGGAGAAAGTGTGAAGAGCGATGTTCCTGTGCAGATGAAGAGCCTTAAAGGTTTGTGTGAAGAACACAAACTAAGATTCTGTTGAGTTATTTTGTTATTTTTTGACACATCTGTTGCCTTCGCCTCCGTCTAYCGTTCACATGCCAGGCAGTAAACACGAGGACGGGACTCAGAGTGATTCAGAAAATGCTYTGGGGGAGCAGCGGAGGGCTGCGGCTCTGGAGGAGCGCTCCTGGGGGCTTTGGGGCGGCGCAGGGATGAAGATCAGAGAAGGCCGCGCGAACGTACCGGAAGGYCTCTTCGCCGAGGAGGACAGTCCTGCCCGGCGCCGCAGGCCCGCGACTGCTAAAGGAGCGAGCCGATTTGTGGAGAGGCGACGAGGCTCCGCCCCACATCAACAAAGTGGACGCGATGAGAGCTATCGCCACGGGGATGAGCACAGCGACAGGGCGACTTACACCATTGATATGGAGAATGGAAACAATGACGAAGAAGATGCTAGGAAACTGATCGACAAAGTGAGAATGATTTAACGTTAAAACCTTTCAAACTTAAGTCGTTATTTATTTATATTAATAAATATATATTTTTAGGTGTTTGGTGTGGATGAGCAGTGTGTTTCCAGGTTGGGAGGTACAAACCAAAGAGAGAGGATTTCTTCCCAGCAGTCTGGTTCCAGAGACAGAGGAAAGCCTGGACGACTGGAGACAGAGGTGCAAAAACTTTTTTTTCTAAAAGTGACTTAAATTTTATCTAGTTTTAGCAGTAACAGAGCTCAGTTCAAATTAAATTCAGATAGGAGTGCGAGGCTTTTATTTTTTATCGATCATGTTTTATTCAGATCTTGGCTGAAGAGCTGATGGTGGGGGGTCCTCGCTGGGTGTCACAGTGGGCTACTCTGGCTGCCAGTCACATTAGGACAGACCCTGAGGGATCAGGGTGTGAAAACCAAGCAATGATCGCAGAGGACCGAGGTAATAAATAGGGTTTTTTTATTTTTATTTTAAGCATACAATATCCTGTCGTGAATTCAAAGTTTAGGTAAAATAATTCTACAACAAATTGAGTGTAGTCATTTACATAGCAGTCCATGCATTTAACCAAATACCCTCTGCTGTGATACCAAATACTGAATACAAAAGCACCAGGCCATTAATGTGTCTTTGGCTCATCATGTCACGTAATTCATTTGCTGCTCAAAGAAAGTTCCATTTTAATAACCAGAGTCAAATCTAAATAAAAATGTTTTTACTTTTTTTACTGTTACAGCTTTTAACTTTACATTCTGCACATTTTTCTGCATTGACAAAAGCAGTGGCAGATCTAGGATTTTTTTTTTTTTTTGAGTGGGGGGGCCATCAAGGGGGCCACAATATTCATAGAGGGGCTGAGTATTTTTTTTTTCAACGTGGCACATAAATACCCAGTTTTGGTAAGGTGCAAAYATTTTACCAGTCAAATATTCAAACACTTGTAATATATAATGTAATTAAACATTAATAATTTTAAAAAAGCTTGTACAGTGAACACTGCTTACCCATTTTACATGTTTTTTCACTGTACATAGTTAAATACTCTCAAACACACAGCATGTGAGAAAGTCCAGCTAATGTTGGTGACTTGAAAGAGTTTTTTGCAGGATTGTTCAAATTTTCTTAAGAAGAGAAAAAGACTTCTGTTAGCTTGATTCTTGCTGAACTTTCTTATTTGACTCATCAGCGCCACTAGTGTTTGGACATGGAACTGCATCCCGCATCAGTGCTCTCAGGCAAAGGATCAGTGACAGGACAGGGGCACTTCAGGGGGCCAATCAGATTTTAGCTGGGGCCAAAGCCCTCGTGGCCCCACCCCTAGAACCGCCCCTGGATGAAAGTAACAAACTGCTAGGTACTCTGTTAGCAAAGTAAAAGCGTAAAGCCAGCAGTGATGAATGCACTTTCATTTTTCGCTCTTATTTTCAGCTGATATAAGTGAATTCAGCCACACTGCTGCCTCCTCTGCGCACACAGAGCGTAAAAGGAGAACCCTACCTCAGCTACCTGGCGAGGAGGTCATCCTCGGGAGAAGGAGCCCGGGAGCAGGCCTTCGCACAGATCTGGGGGAGAAACAGGACACAGAGCTGCAGGAGAAGGAGAACCAAGGCGAGAGGATCTCCAGAGGAAAGAATCAGCCCGAGCACGACACCGGAGGGGTCGGCAGCCAYGGGAGCAGCCCCAGTCGCTCCTCACCAGCCAAATCCCAGGACAGCGGTGGAGGGAGATCAGGCCAGCCAGGTGGGCTGGCCAAACTCCCCCCTCGTCCGTTGACCAGTGGGGAGAGGAGAATGGAGGAGGCAAGGAGGAGGAAAAGGGAAGAGGAAAAAGCCAGAGACAGTAGTGGGAAACCATTGCTGAGGCAGGAGAGTTTCACTGTGGAGAAACCCAGTTCCAACGTGCCTATAGAGCTCATCCCACGCATCGATGGGCTCACATGCAGCAGAACTCAGACTAAAGATGCCGCCATTGACAGCGTCACGCTGCAGAAAGACTCAGAGGCTGTGGCAGCTTTTCTGGAGACCACTGTGTCAGACCAAGGTGATCCCCCGAGCCAGTCCATTGAAGGCTCTGTGTCTCCAGAGTCAGACGTGGACACAACGAGCACCGTCAGTCAGGCAGATGGAGTGAGGAAAGTAGTCCAGAAGCGTCGSACTCTAGCAGGGCAGCAGAAGGAGAGAACTGTAGTGTGCTCATCTAACAAGGGGCCTACTGAGGGCAGGGACACTCAGGACCGGAGGGTCAAGAACAGAACATCTGGTCCTCAGCAGCCTAGCCGCCCTTGGACTTCCCTGGACCTCACTGATGATGATGTCAACTCTAGCTCAGTCCTTTCTGACTCACAGCCCACCTCCAAGCAGGAAAYCAGAGGCTCGAATGTTAGAGCTCAAGCTGGGAGCACAGCCGTCGGGACCAAGTCTAATCGGACCAGGGTCACCCAGACCTCAGCTTCCTCTGCACCCAGTAAAACCGCAAACGCTCCCAAACCTAGACCCACCCGGACATCTCTGCTGAGACGAGCCCGGCTGGGGGATTCMTCGGATACTGAACCTGCTGATATGGACCGGCTGTCAGTGGCCTCCGAGGCCTCCACGGCTAGTTCTACGTCCAGGACAGGGATGGCAAGAAGGGGAATGTCCAGGATAGAGGCACTAGCGCAGCCAAGAAGACCGCGGGTGGCGTCTCCGTCTGCTCAGAGCGACTCGGAGGCCACCGTGACAAGAGGCAGGGGTCTGGGTTCTCGCACTGCCGCAGGGGATTATGCAGCCAGACAAGGACTGAGAGGAGCCAACGTGGCTTCTTTGTCCGGACCCCGAGCCAGAGCCAACAGCGCCTCCAAGCTGCCAGATAAAAGCAAAGGAACCTCCTCCCATGGACATGCCACTCCTGCATGTAAGTRGRATAAAAACTCRWATCAAATATGCAGTTTGTTTAGTAATGACAGACATCATTCTGCACTGGGCTCCTCAGCTGGCACGCAGTGGCGCCGGCTTCCTGTGGAGTACGCCTCCACCTCAGAGGACGAGTACGGCTCGAATCGTCACGCATCCAMGCAGGGCCAAACGAAGCCAGCCCTCCCTTCAACGCGAGTGGCCCATTTAGGAGGCTCGGCCCCGGCRTCGCCCAACCCTGCAGGCCTGGCTGCCTTCAAGCAGAGCTCCAGGGACCAGGATGAGTWTATGAGAGACTGGACAGCACACAGCGAAGAAATAGCCAGGTATGTAGGTGAGAAGCACAGATGACTCATGGCTTCTACATTTAAATCATCTTTCCTACTTGATGTGCTTTTTAAATCAATTTTAGTTGGATGTAGTTTGTTTATAAGGTGTGGGAATTATCTATTGCCACAGAAAACAATATATTTTACAGATATGATATTTCCTAAAGCTTTTTTTTATCTTTAGGATTAGCCAAGATCTAGCCAAGGATTTAGCCATGCTTGCCAAAGAGATTCATGACGTGGCGGGAGAGATCGACTCAGTCAGCCCTGCAGCAACCGACCCTGGAGCTCTGGTACGCACATGTGCCATATGCTGTGTATAAATATGTGTAGGCATGTAATGTTAAGCCATTATATAAAAAACATATTATGGGATAACTTCTCCTCTGTTCATGCATTTATTTATTTAGTATTTTATTTTTTTGTCACTTCAGTAAGAAAAATAACTTGAGTATTATTTTCTTAATTTCTTCATCATCAGTGACTTTTATAAAGAGGAAAGAGGAAAGGAGAAAAAGGGGAAATGTATTTGGAAAGACTGAAAGAGAGATTAGAAAATATTTTAAATTTACACCAAGAAAACACAAGGCAACACACCCGACATCTCTCTGCTCACCTGAAAATAAACAGATATAAGAAAACGTAGCAACAAAATACATATCTATATAATAATAAAAATTATTAGAATTTTTCTGTAAAGCATGTATATGTATATACTGTATACCCATATATACACATATAGATATGTACAGTATGCATACATACTGTACATACAGTATATATACACACACTCAGTGACCAGTCAGAACCCCCTGCTGAACACCGGTTTGTGAGCGGTTGTKAGCATGCATGTACAAGATTTCTCCAATGGAATATTTAATAGTRTTTATTTTTTTCTTACCCGAAGGAGTCTGCATTTGATGATGGCTTGGGTGGTCCCTCCACGCAGCAGAACAGCACTCTGGGAGCTAACGGGCAGCGCGTAGAGCTTCGGCAGCGAGGCTCTAACGATCATAGCTCTCGTTCTATCCGTCGACAGACGTGGAACAGAGATGATGTGAGTCTGTGATGCTTGTTTTTACATAATGAGTATGTAATTCTGGCAATCTCTTTTTTTTTATTTTAACCCCCACTTTTTTAGTAATTGCCACACCAAATTACTAAATTAGTTATTTATTTAAAATTAGTACAGCAAAATATTACCATAAGTCTGAGCCTCGGCAGAGAGATCTGTTTGTTGCAGCTTCTGTATATAAACTCTACCTTGAGTTTTTGTTTTATTTTTTTTTTCATTTATGATAGTCAGGATTAGTACCACAACAAGCGCAGTAAGCCAAACTTAATGTTAGATGCTCAGTAACTAAAACACAACTTTACATCTATAATTCTAACTCATTTTATATGAATAAATAGAAGTTATTACTCTTTGACCTGCAACTAAAAAGATACATCTGCTCATAGGAGCAAGAAGACCTGATCATGTAGGGTCGTGCTGTCCTCTTTTCTCTGCCTCTCTGTTTTTTACTGGACTGAATTTAAAATCTTTGTACTGTTTTTTTAAAGCTTTTATTGGTCCAGGCTGATCCTACTTAGAGGAACTTTTACTTTATCTTACGTCATAATGTCAGCTAACTATGTTTTGGATTTTCCAAGATCTTAATACAAAAGCAGAGGTGATCTTTCCTTTGACGTGACTTTTCTTAATAAGTGGAATATACTTTATCTGTTTAAAAACTGTCCAAAGCTTAAAACTTTAAAGGCTTTTATTAAGAAGCACCACCTCTCATTTGCATTTGACTTAAGATAAGCTTGACTTGATTAAATCCTGTGTGTTTTCCTTAATGTGGGATTTTTATATTTAACTTTTTCTGGAATGATTTTATTACTTTTTCAAATGTTTCACCTCATTCTTATTAAAAGGACTCTTTACATTTTATTGTGATATTGTTTTATTGATTTCATTGCTTGTGATGTTAATTTGGACCTATTCACAGTCACAAGGACTGATTCTTCTCTTGTGTAATTTCATTTTTTGTTATTTTACTTGTGTAAATGTTGTTTCAGCATTCACATTATGTTGTTTTTTATTCATTTTTTAGCAAGCTACTTCTGCATACTTAGTAAAACACATCAAAAATGTTCAACTCATTCAGAAAATGGAAGTTGTGATTTCAGTTTTGTGTAAATTTTACACTTTTCCAAATGTAAATGGTCCATGTTGAGATCTCTTTGATTCATTCTAAATAATTTTCTTTAAAATCTGCTTCAGCAAACTTGCCTTGCTACAGATATAATTTAGCTGTTTTTAGCTAGTGTTTAGTGTCTTTTAACATTTATCTAGTGCTTTACTACTTTAAGCTTTTAGCTCCCATTTAGCCACTTCAACAACCTTCAACCTTCTCTGAGATGAGATTCTGGGTTCCTGTCTTTGGTTTTGTGCTGTTGTCCACATTGACATTAACTAGAGTCAGTGAAATTTCACAATCCATTTCATTCGTTACAGTCGTGTCTTTTTTGCTCTCAGGCGATCCTGGACAGCATGCTTCTAGCTTCTGTGACGCAGCTCTCAACCAGGATACGTCAGTCTGTTGATAAAACAAGCTGCAAAGTCAGGTGAGATTTGCACAGTTACACTCTACAGTTCTATCATTTCTGTTCTCAGAAAAGAATAAATCGATAATTTCGCCATCAAAACAGAATTGTAGAGTTGAGTGGAAAAGGATTTCTGTTTGTTCTGTGTTGAAATGAGGCCGGCTGACTGAGTCTGAGTGGCACATCACAAAGTTTTACTCTGTCAACCAGCAGCACGTTTTTCCCATTAGGCTGACAGGTCAAAGGATCTTTTTTTAACTGGAGACAATTATTCTAACTGTCAGYTAATACTTCTAACAATATCTATATTAAGCATATTTTTTAATATATTTTTTTACTTTAATCTATTTTTGAAACAACTTCAAGGATCCTTTTCAAGGATAAAGAGCGAAAATGGGAGGAAATTGAKACCAAACTGCAGGCAGAGCATGACTCCTTACTGCTCAAGAGCTCCAATAAGGTGAGGAACATGTTCATTGAATTAGATTTTATTTTAAGGAAGTCTTTTTTAGGCCTATGTTTGAATTTGTTTATCTAAATGGCTACAGCTCTGTAGTTTCTCATGGCATGAAAGGAAGTGTGGAAAAATGCATTCTGTTAGGCCTTTAGTAAAATTAYGTTTTTGTTAATTACCTCCACCAAGGTAATGTTTTCGGTCGCGTATGTCTGTCTGTCGGTCTGTCATTCTGWCTCTGGACAACATTACTCAAAAACTTGTGGACTGATTGTCATGACATTTTTACCACATGTGGGTACTGGCTCAAGTAACACACCTTTAAATGTTGGTGATGTTCCGGATCACGATGCGGATACTGGAATTTTTTTTCTTTTAACACTCTGAGATAGGCAAAGCTGTGATGCTTTCACAGGGCGTGGGTTTCAAAGTGTCCAGCAGGTGGCACTGTAGTATTGGTGTGCCCCTTTGTAACTCTATTACAGGATTGGGGGAAACTGGTCTTGGCGGAGGTTTGCACTCTCCGAGTGCTTCTAGTTAACTTTAAAATCCTGCAGAATAATGATTGCTTAGTCTTGCTAAACAAATCTGTGTTTTTATAAGATGGATTAAAGGTTATAAAATCTTTCACCGGTTGATATTAAAGTAATCAGATTTTTAGCAAGATATTTAATGAACAGAACCAAACAAGTAGAAGTTTAAATGTTTTGTTTTCCATTTAAGTCCATTTATTATGTTAGTACTGTTCAAATAAATMTTTTCAGAAGAAGCTCTGTAAATCTGAGCACTCAGCTGCAGCAGTATGGTGAATAGCAGTGCTACTTGAGTTATTTGGGAATAAAAGTAAAGATTTGTGCAGCTGCCTTTGACGCCGCAGTTCAAATACACATTTCATAGATGAAAGTCCACCAAATAAGGTTGTTTTATCAAGAAAWAGAGCAAAGRAGAAGAGTTACAAGCCRAACTTCATAAAAGTTTTGYCTCTCTCAGGARCAGAGAGATTAATCTGGCCCAGACTGTCCTCATGTGAACCCCTGAAGAGAAATGTYGGACCACAAGTCACAAAGCTCATAAAGCATTAGTCGGTGTGATGGGCTCCACTCCAAACCTTTTTCGGCAGCAATAAAGAGATTAATCAAGCTGATTTATTTGCTCTGAGAGCTTTCAGTTATTAAATCGCACCCTTGACTAGCCTTGTGTTTTTAATTTCTTGATCTTAACAGGAGATTTCAACAATTATTCAAGACCTGAAGAAGGTGGAATGGCAACTCGCAGGTAGGAACTTTCTGGTTTTATTAATGCCTCAAAACAAAAACTAATCTTTATAAATAAGTAGAAGTCAAGGAGCATTAAAACACTCAAGTTGTTTTCTGCTCCAAACTGACAGTAATCGACATGATGGTGGACCCAGATGGTACTCTGGATGCCCTGTCCAACTTGGGCCTGACGAGTCCTTTAGCTCACCAAAAGCTCAGTCCTGGGACTCAGCAGGGGGCGTCAGCGTCTCATCCTGGAGCTGAGGCGGCTCTGTGCAGCTCACTCTCAGCCCCCAGGCCTGAAGGACGATCTAGTGAACCCTGTGGATCCTCGGATCAGACTAAAGTGGCAGAGCGGGACCCAGGGACCCAGCAACAGAATACATCCTACAAATGACAAACCTAGGAACTAATTTACAATGCTTTCTTTATATGAGACTAAACCTACACGGAAAATCTCAGAAAAGACTTTGGTCCGAGGTTTTAGGATTTCTTAAGGTTTGTTTTTTTAGAGACGAGTGAGGAGTTATGCCTTTTTCATGTTGTCAAAATAAATCCTGTTGGGATAGTGGACTTTTGAAACRAAACTCTTTGGACAACGGGTACATTTGAAGAAAATCCTACAATATTTACTGCTACCCTTATTACATTACAGTAACCCATGTTTTTATGTTGCAGCTCACTGTTAGTAGCCATTACCTGCTAAAGCTACATTAGGGATGCACCAATACCAGCACTGGTTATCAGTCTGATACTGCATGTGTACTTGTACTCAAAAAGTGTTCCAATACCTCAGTATCAATACMGCTTTGAGGCAACAGTTGAACAAAAAAGGGCCTTGGGAATATAAGGATCTGAGCCCGAGTTTCTTACCAATCTCACCACTCAAGACACTGACAAGTAAATAAAGGCCTCCATCATCATCATCACTGAGGTGAAAAATAACATTTTTGTAAAGCATGAGAGTGGTGTAGGAGTTATTTATTTGGGAATAAAGATTTGAGCCGTGCGCAAGTTGGTGAGTCAGCAAGTCTAACCCGGCAGACCCCAGTTAGCTCCATCACAGGTCACTGATGAGCCTGAAAAGCTACTTAATGAACTGCTTAATGAGCAGCAGCTGTGGTTCACTAATTCTTCAAAACACTATTTTTTACTCATGCTCCTGAAAGCTTTGTTCCATTGTTTTTTTAATGCTTACATTTCAGCTTTTAACAAAGTTGTTGGGTATGAAAAGTGCCTCCATTGTGCTGAAAGTGGTTGTCAAACACGATGGGCATTTTAATTTATTTTGGCACTTGAGGGGGAGGTGACATTGGAAGAAATAATTTTAAGCCAGGCAGTGGTCTACGTAGTGCAAAGAGGTCTCTAATTCAATGCCACAGTCATCACACAGACCATTGTCATGGAGTCCCATCACTATTTTGTGGTGAGCAGGTTGTGCCCAGTTAGGACTCCAAACATAGTACTTAGAGTTTTCATTGTCAGGGCTATGAGAGCTTTCCCAAACCTTAGGTTTGGGCCGTTAATCAGTTCCCATGCCTGTCTACAGTCCGTCAGCTCCCTCCAGCGGATTGAGTGTTGACGTCTAATCCAGGCCTGTGGGGCAGTCCCACAGACTGTTGTTGAGGTACCTACAACAGGCTCTGGTTCTTTGAAGTGAGCCTGACTGCCAGCTCTTGCAAGTTAGTCAGCTCTCTCATCACCGTTAATACCAGTATGTCCTGGTACCCATTTAACAGTAACAGTGTTATCTCTCCCAGTTGGCTGACTGCTTCGGTACACTCCCAAGCCAGTAATGACGTAAAGCGTGGCCCTCGGAGAGCTTTAATAGCAGCTTGGCTATACTTGTTGGAATAAAACTGTTCAAATGTAAACACTTGTTTTTAGACTAGGTTTGAAAAGATGTGGTATTTGTGCATCCCTAAGCTAAAAGATTTGAAATCTGTTATTAATGTGACTGGGACCTCAGTCCTTGGATTAACTGTTACTGAGACCAATATTTGTCRGGCAGAAAGCCAAAACAGGAAACCAAATGAAAAGGATTCGATGGTGTCAAAACAGAACTCAAAATAAATACGKTTGTGATTTCAAAGCTGCCATAGGATGATTTATAAAACATAAAAATATATATTTCCCCCTGTTTGTAATCCAGTTACTTACATGTCTTAGCAATGGAATAGAAACAGTGGGTATTTCATGAGTAAAAAAACAGTAAAAAGTGTAAAAAAAACAGTTAWAAACTTTCCCCATATCAACTTTCTTGTGCTAACGTCATATGAATTCAGTGTATCAAAAGCAGCCTGGTGATTAATAGAAATGGAACAATCTAATGTAGCTTCAGAGAAAAGTTTGTCACAAGTGGCCTGGATCCAACAATCATCACAGATAGTAGGGAATGATCAGAGAGAAGTGAAATTTGTGTCTTTGCACATTGAAACACTGATGTACTCGCATATTAAAAACTTATCTACATGGGACCAGAGCAAGATACGTCTTTATCCCATTTCTGTTTTGTTTTTTTACAAAAAGCATTGTTTTAAACCAGCCGTCGGTACATGAAAGATGTTTCTTTTGATTACGGAATTAAAAGTTGTGTTGAAACCAGCATAGACAGGGACTACCTCCAAGTCCTGCAGCTGCATTTCATCAGTAAAATTGCAATGAAATAATGAATCATGTATTGACTGTACGTTTTCCAATGTCTTGCCTCCTACCGATGTTTACACTTGAATGTAACCTGAAAAAACTGTTGAAAAACCTTTTAGCCAAAACAACGTTAATAAAAACCAATTAWTGTGTTCTCAGCATACTTTGTTCAGAATTTAGTTTGAGCATTTAAACTTTAAGTTTTGTATGCCTTATCTTTTTTAWCAGTGTGTTTAATGTTGACCTTTATGTTTTGTTTCCAATAAAATGCATGAAACCAGCTGTCACTTAAATATTCTTTCACATCTAATTAACATGGTTGGTCAGAAAATAAACTTTTAGGCCATTTAAAATAAAATGTGTTTTTACAAAAATTTAATAAGTTATCAAAGACGTTTTTAAACTGCAGAATCAAGATTTTGATCTAATTGTGAGTTTATTCACTTTGTTGCATCATTTAAAATACAGGAAATTGTGAGTGTAGTGTGAAATATTTAATTTTTATATAAATATATATAATTTCTAAATTTGTTTTTTTAGTAGGGAAATCTAATATTTAGTTTTTCTGGAATTTGAATGTTTATAAGTATGCTTTTAGTTAATTTGCATATATTAAACAAAAATTTATAAACATTTTTCCTCATTTTTATTGGAATGCCTCTTTACAGTGTTGATTTCATTGCTTATAAAGTAAAATTTGACCAATGTACAGTTACAAGGACAAAGATGATTATTTTTTCATGCAGGGGCAGAGACAGGGGTGACCGGGGTGGAATGTGYCACCCCTGGCACCTGATTGGCCACCCCAGGTACCAACCCCAAATGATTGACAAGTGAGGTGGTGTTTCCATGTGGCAATTCAAAGATGGGCATTTAATGAGAAACTTGTTTTGCYAGCTGGGGTAACTTTCAGATTGTCACATGTATTGATCAAGACTGCCACCAAACCAAATTTCAGCTCATTTGTTATTAAACTTTTAAATATAATAATAATAATAAAAAAWATTGTTCTTAAACCTTTTTTTTCCAGCACTCTGTATCCTAGTATTGAACTGAACACGTGAGGAGCAACCTGATTTTCTGTGTTCAAGATGCAGAGAGCATATCTTCATGTCGGTAACTCCTCTCACACTTCTATCAATCTGATTATTCTGCTTCAGAGGCTGCGTCTCTACAGCCAGGCGGCAGCTCTTGTTGCTCTTCCATCCATCGTCTTTCCCCGCCCACCGGGGAGACTGTCAGCTACACACACACACATACACAGACACACACACACACTCCCTCCCCTGTGAGTGTTGGAGAGTGAAAAGGCTCGAGACACAAACATTTCAAGGTGTGTTCAGTGGCTCAGACAGCACAGAGAGCAGGAGCAGCTGATTCAGCTTCTGAAAGACAGATTAAAAAGAAAAGAGAGTAGACGGCAGGGTGACAGCGTGTGTGTGTGTGCGCGTGAACATCAGAGTGTGTCTTCATCTCGGCAGATGGTGTCCGTCCACAGGTCATCAATGGAACTGTCAGCTGATCCACAAATGGAGGGACAGGAGGAGGCTCCCCCAGCACCACTGGCCTGTGTGTCCCAGGTGAAAAGCAGCAGCTACAGTTCTGTGCAGCAGCAGGGCTACTCCGCCACCCTCCTCCTGCGGCGCAAAGACAAAAAACTGGAACAGGTGAGCCAAACCTCTCAAGTAGACCTTCAAAAACCTGTGTGTGGCCATCAAAACAGATAAGCTGTTGTTGTTTTAATTAAAATAGAGAACAGKGAGTATTGCATGGAACTGGGTGTTTACTGGGTTTTGGTCATTTAGAAGATACAGAATTGGGCCTTCAGTCACAGCGACATGCTGGGAGTCCAGAAGAAACCGTTAGTCTCTTCCACAGGAACTCGTTTCACTGCATGACTGAACTGGCTGCTTCTACATGCGGCTGAGCTCTGTTGCTCTAATGGGAATTGATTTCCACTTTCTGTTGCTGTCACCACAGCCATGTAACCTGAACAGATGCCAAAGATGTAGTAATAATGATTACAAGGAAATACATCAACCAGATATTGAGCTTGTTGGGATACTTGTTGCAAACAGCTGCCAAATCTTTAATGTTATTGTGTTTGTTTGCTGTGGAAGCTCCTGCAGAACCAGAGATTACTTGTTGAAAACTGAGGAATCAAACATAAAAACATCATCTTAAACTGTTAAATGATGCAATTTGAAAAAGCTTCCAGTAATTATCCAGATACAGCGGGTAAAATAAGTATTGAACACGTCACCATTTTTCTCAGTAAATATATTACTAGAGGTACTAATG